CTAGGTGTTAAAGTCGCACGGTTCAGGACATGCACGTTACTAGTTTTAAGAGAGGATCAAGTGAAGGGACTAAATTCCACGTGTAAGCCTTATTCTTGAGCTTAATTCTCATAAATTTTTTTTAGGATCAAACCCTTCCTTGTAGATCCTAGGAGGATATAGCCAATCCAGCGTAGAAAATTGTGCACATTAAGAATTTCCACGACTCGACTACCTGTTATGGTACATTTTACGTTGTCCTGGGGTTATCCTAATCGATTTGAGTCTTGCCATAACATGAAAGTAATTCCTTTGAGAATAAGGTCCAAGATAGCATGAGAGGAATTCCTCTAAGAATAGGGCTTTTGGTGGAGAAGCAGTCCTCTGGGTCAACCTTTTCTTGGTGTTTATAACTGTTTAATTACACTCACAATTTTGACATGACAAGCGGAAATTTCCATGAAATTGAGTTAAAGCTTTTTCCATTACAATTCACACTAACAATAGTTTGGTGGAAGACGCCACATTCGCAAGGGTCTGGGCACTCTAAAATGAGGCAAGAAATGATTGGCCGTTAAAATTCGTCAACAAAGGCTTCAAATTTGAAAGAGTTAAGTCAGTTGTTCTGGCAACGAAGAATATTTCATTTTGATAGAACATTACTGTAAAATCACAATTACCAAGATTACATGAACACTTCAGAGTTACGATGTAAATTAACTGATCATGAATCAAAGATGAAAACTGGATTGAAAACACGCACTTCAGGTACACTGTATGCAGGCGCCAAAATCGAAAAACTCTGGCATAGTGACCTCGCTTGGAATAGAAAAAAGTTTAAGCGTACAAATGTGAATTTCCTTTGGTTATCATCATATACGCCTTTCCCTTCACCAGATAACTATCATACCAATAATTAAAATTCAAACCTAAAAACAACATACAAGTTAAATTAAAGGGATATAGAAAAATTAATTTTGAAAGGTTAAATAAGATCCAACTACCAAAGTAGCTTAAACGTTTTTTTGGGTGGGTAGAATTTTGAGCAAATGAAAAAGTACAGGTTTAGATAATCCGACTATACAAAGCACTAATGTACTTCAACAAAACAATAATACCTCACCTTCAATTGTGAGGCTGATGTCTCTTCTTAACACCTCTTCATCTTTTCTTACCTCACAGCTATAATTCACGTTGTTTTCCGAAGTTACCTTAAGCTGAAATGTTATGCTGGTACTATTTTGAACAGTGACATCATCTTTTCTCCATAAAATGTATGGAGCCGGCGCAGCCTTCGCTGGACACCATAGTTTGAAGGTTCTGTTCAAAAATACATACTGCGTCTTTGGAGCTTGGTCCATCGTAGGATTGACTGTATCAGATTAAAAAAAAAAAGAAAGTAATTGTCAGAATGATTATGGCGTGGTACTCAGAAAACCTTAAAAACAGTGCAGGACGTGAAAATCTTTCCTGTTCGTCTGCGTTTAAAACTAGAATGTGAATAGAGAAAGACGAAAAGGAAAAGAGTCCATAGGTGAAAGTAAAAAAGAAGCCTGGCTTTCAGCAAAAGACGTAAAGAAATTCGTTGCGGAATGGCGAAATAATCCACCAAAATGGATAAAGCCTTGTAGTTTTGGCAATTTTCGCTGCTCGCAGTCGATCAGCAACCATTCATTTTTGCCGCGGCGTGCTTAGGTCGCTTTTTAAGTTGAAAAAAAAAAAAATGAAATCAAAATTGCCGTTCAGCAGAATTGAACTTAAGGTCTGTCACGGGTTACTGTTAAGTAGTTACCGCAAATCCTGTTTTTGCTAGGAACCTCCTGAGACTCTGCAGGACGCTTCTATGATTTTATAAGGGGTTGGCATTTTAAGTTTTTCCGAGTTTTGACATAACTTGACATGTGGTCACCCAAAGGCGTGAATTGCTGTAAAAACCTGAGAAGCATAAAACAATCTACGTCGTTTGCACGTGAAGGTGCATTTTTTTGAAGAGTCAATAGGGTATTTAAACTTTACTCATTGCCTTGTAATTTGGTCTGAAGACTCCCAAGATATCAACCCTCAAGATTGAAATTGAGCGAAATTTTATGTGTCAAATGTGACATCGTCCGTTACGAATTGTTGCGCTCTTTCGGTCTAAGATTAGATCGAACTAAAACGAAAAAATTTTGCCAAATATTGCATTTCATAATCGTTCAATTAATAAATATATATACGTTGCAAGTTTGACAATACTTGATATATATATACATACATATATATATATATATTTTTTTTTTTTTTTTTCTAATCAGGAATAGACACTTTTTGATGTATAAACAAAGGTATAGATATTTTCATATGTAATTTCAAATTGCAGCGCATTTGAAAACGGGTGTATCTATACATATATATTGATTTATTAAAAGAAACATACCTGTTTCATTGATAGATCTGGCGGTATAGAATACAGCGAAGTTATAGAGATCTGTCCGGATAAATTTCAACCACATGTATCGTCCACTGGATCGCACTACTCCAGTTCCGTAATCTCCACAGAATTCACCAAGAAGATTGGTTGACTGATTACTGCCATCACGAATTTCAAGATAAAATCCCCATAGACATAGTCCTGGAAAGTGGCCGCGTATTGTAAAGTTTAGTTCCACATAATGTCCCCATGGAACTGAAAGAATTTTTTTTCCGTCAAACTCCTTGACTCGTTCCCATCCTTGTGCTTGCTTATCATACTCCGACAAACCTGCAATAACTGCAACAAATCAATTAGTTTGGTTGCAACAAAAACAATTCATAGTTATTATAAAGAAGTTATAAATGGTAAATAAAGACCAGAAAAAGAAAGAATGTGGTAGTACAAAAAACAGTGCCTTGCATAAGAGCTGAGCTCTATATTGCGGGCACAATTACTCCATTCATTAGATTTTAGACCATTAGAAAAATCTTATGTAAAAATAGACTTTACTTTTTTATCCTTCGCACAGGAGAGAGAGAAGCAGTACCTACAAATCGACCTCGGCTTGAACTGGGACAAAAGACCCACAAAACGAATGACGATTTCAAAACTTCAAGGTTTCAACTTCAATGGAATTTTAAAAAATGCAAATATTACTCCGCAGAGGTTGTCCTAACATGAGCTATCTTATTCACAAAAATAAAATAAACAAAAGCTCAAAGAAAAATAGCAGAGACGTTGTGTAGAGTAAGTAGCTCAAGAACATAACATAAATTTACGGTCAGGGCTGGTTCTCACTAAGCTTGGGGTATAGCCACTGCACCAAAGAGTCTCCGATTCCAAATGGAAAACTTACCACCAATTTAGAATTAAGAGCGCGAATTTAATTTCAGTAAAACATGCAGCAGATGCTTATTTGGAATTCAGATGGGACAATCTTGACGTCTGAACGTTTTGTAACAAAGAATGCACCCCATTTCACATGCATAGTCTAAGTTGCATGATATACTCAAATTCAAGAGATAACGATCTCTTGTTCATCTTTCAGCAGATGCCATCTTCGTTCATCCTCTGAGTCTTCAATGCCCTCCTTCGATGAATATCCCACTCATTCCCTGTATTCCTTTCTCAAAGACGCCCACCCCACCCATGGAGCCTCTCCTCCCTTAAAAAGGAAAAAAAATTGAAAAGCTAATAACAATTTTAGATAATGGTTGTAAATAGCCGAGGCGCTTACAGAAAACAAGGATGAAACTCCAGTTGGTCATTGAACATACCATCACAATGTTGTGAGCTGAAGAAGAAAAGTTAATATGCTTAATCCAGGTACAGTTATAAAAAGCGTTAGTTCATATGCTTCCATAAGTCCTAGAGCAATCAGTATCCGTCGAAGCCGATGATTTGGCCTTTGGTTTTCCTTTCTTTATGAAAAAAATATCAGGGTTACTTGCTCTGGATTAGTGGAAAATTCTTTCTGTTTCATTATTAATTTGAGGTACGCTGTCGTCGATTGACTCAGCGCGTGGACCTTTATCTTGATCCTCATCAGACGCCAGTTTAATTATTCTAATACTGGAAGCAGACGTGATGTGTTGACTTATCTTAGAACCACCTTAATATTCCCTGTAAGCTTACATCAAGCCAAGTGAGATTTATTAATGTAATTCATGCAGACGCAGTGACATACAATATTAATTGTTCTCAAATAGAAAATTATGTTTATGTATACTTTTATCTTCGACGAGTTGATTGACATCTTCCTATAAACCATTATTTCACCTGAGTTTTGGAAATCATTTCTAGTTTAAGAACCAACTCTGGAAAAAAAGTTTACTAAAAAGAAGCCGAATCTCTCGTTCGGTTCATTACGTAGTTTGGGACCAAGATTGAAAACAACAGTTTATTCTGGATAGTCCATAAACGATGAATCTTGTTTTTCTCGACATCTGTTTTCTGAAAAAAATGTGTTGATATGGTGAGAGAATTAACTCTTCTTTAAATCTGAAATTGGGATAATGTACTTTAGTTACCGAGGCCGATGTCATCTAGTATCAGCATAAAAATAAATATTAATTCTTGGAACCCTTACGACTGATGGATGACTTTTTCGGCATTCAGAATCTAAATAGAAATTGAATTCGAATCCTGTCTTTTATTAAGCTTTCAATATTTTATGGTAAAGGAGGAAAAAGCCACTGTCTATGGTCAGCAAAAGCCAACAAGAAAGATTAATAAAGCGGTTCTAAAATATTTTGTTGGACTAAGAATTAAAAAATAGGAACACGAAATAAAAAGAAAAAGTAATTGAAAGAAATTTAAAGGTGATTTCTTGTTCCTTTTGAAACGCTGAACAAAATCCCCACCGTTGCGAAAAGTCAATATTATGTTCATGCATTTTTAATGTAAAGAAGAAAGAGAGTAGAAATTTTCCTTCCTACAAAAAAAATGCTTCTTTTTTCCCCTTGTGGAGTTCTCCAACCTCTTCAGCAAGAATGTTGATGATACATTTAGAGTTTTGGAGGAAATAAATTGAAATCCTCGCGCTGTGAATAGTTATCCTTTTATCCGTCACTCAGCTGATAATTTTACAAGCTGCATGTTTTTTGTTTTTGCTCTGGTGTCATTTTAATTTTTTAATTGATCGAGTTGATCGTTTTCCAAAATTTTAAAGAGAAACTTTTAAGACGACTCGGCAGAGTAGTACATATTTCTTTTAAAGATTATGTCCGTTACTCTGTAAATGTAACTGTTGATCGTTTACAAACTGACTGCTTCGTGTCTTTACTCTCAGATGGCATTTGACTTTCAAATTTACGTTTTAACATCTGACAAGGAATATGTTTTCCTTTCGGTAAAATTCGCGTCTGCATTGTAAAATACCATTACAAAACATAACACTCCTGTTTATTATTCCGAGGATAATACTACTATTCGTGTCTGTCAAAGAATTTGGACTCTTTTCGCTGTCGATCAATTTTCCTAAACTGCTACCATCATTCTTCTTGAAAATACGTCGTTAATGATAAGGAAAAACTTGATTCTGAGAAATTATATGAAGTGCTGTGAAAAAACAATTATGTTTCACTTTTTCGTGTGCTTTGTTTCTCAGAAAACGCAGGAAATGCACCGATAACGATAACATAAAAATCACAAAAACAGAGAAAGAAACTAAAATGATCGAATTAAAGAACTATAGGTCCGGGAGCTAGAATAGTTTAGAATAAATATTGTGGTAACAAACAGAACGAAAATAATTTCATCGAAAAGATCGTCACCTGTCGACGTCTCGGAAGTTAATATCCTAGTTAACAAAACTGCTCTCTACTTTCAAATCTAACTTTTGTACCGTATAGCGAGGGAGAGAGATGAATTTTATGAGATAAGAACAGAAAGATACGAAGCTCTCATGTTTAGTACCTGAATGTTGATTGTCCCTTTACTCTGTAAGAATCTGATCGCATTTATCCGCATAAGCAGATGATAATTAATTCACAAAAAGGTAAAGGTTTTTACAGCTGTTTTAATTGTTGTTTTAATAGCTTGATAGCTAAAAACTACTTAAAAGTGTTATTTTGATCTTTAGATGAAGAAAAGCCGCAGAGATGTTAGGTTTTCGATTTTGTGGTTTGACCGGTCTTGTTCTTCTCAAAGTAAATCTGCTTAATATCATCATATATTGAAGATAGAAGGAGAAATTGCGCTTTTATCACTCTACTGCAATAATTTTTAGACGGCACACCATTAAAGATTGTGTCCGTTACTCTGTGAATATAACTGTTTATCGTTCACAAACTAACTTCTTCTGTCTTTTTTCTCAGGTGCCATTTGAATTTAAAATTAACTTTTGAACAACTTACAAGGATTATGTTTCCATTTCAGTAAAATTCGCATCTCTACTGTAAAATAACATTACAGAACATACACTCTTGTTTATTGTTTCGAGGATAATACTACTATTTGTGTTTTTCGAAGAATTTAGACTCTTTCTATGTCGATCAATTAGTCGATTAATGTTTAACTTTTTTTGAGTCCTATGTTTCCCAAAAAAGGCGGAAAATGCACCTAACAATAACATAAAAATCACAAAAAAATAGAAAAAAAAAACCGAAATGATCGAATTACAGAACTTCAGAAGCTAGAATAGTTCAGGATATATAATGTGGTAACAAACAGAACAAAAATGATGTCATCGAAAGGATCGCCATCTGTCAACATCTAGGAAGCTTATATCCTATCAACAAAAAATTCTCTCTACTTTCAAATCTAACTTTTGTACCGTATAGTGAGCGAGAGAGATGAATTAAACTATTATGAAATAAGAACAGAAAGAAACGAAGCTCCTATGTTTAGTACCTAAATGTTGATTGTCCCTTTACTCTGTAAGAATCTGAACGCATATATCTGCATAAGCAGAAGATAATTAATTCACACAGGGGTAAAGGGTTTTACAGCTGTTTTAACTGTTGTTTTTAATAAATTGAGAGTTTTAGATTGACAAAAATTTCCATCACGTAGTTTTCCCAAGTCCACGTCTGCCTTAAAAGAGAAACTGAAATAAAGTCTATTTCTTTTTGTCTTTTTTTCTCCCTTTTCTCTTTGAGCAGTTTTAATAACTAATTTATATCATGTTTTATAAATAATTCAAATAGTACGCGCGCTCTGATTGGCCATAAAACCATTTTACATGAGCGTATGTAAACACGGTTTTCGTTCCTCTTTCATTAGTTATTTTATAAAAGAAATGTGAAATGGTTTCCGTGTTTACATAGCCTGATGTAAACACTTGGGAGGTTGGGAGAACACTTCTCGCTTCGCGTCGTGGTTTCCCACGCTTATCTCGTGTTCTCCCAACCTCCCGCGTGTTTACATCAGGCTATGTAAAAACGGAAACCATTTTACATTTCTTCAGCAATGAACCGAATAAAATGACTTAATTATACAACTAATGTGACTATTCCTCGGCAACCAACGCTTTTATCATTTTATAACAGTATTTGACTTTCCAATTCAAATTGACAAATTTTCCTTATCCTAAGTAAATTTATTTTCATGAACACTGACTTACTTTTTTAAGCCGGAAATCCAAAATAAGGGTCTCATCTCAAAAGCATTTTCATTTTCTTCTTTTATCAACTTCTCGAAAACGAAAACTTATTTCCGCGGTGTTATGTTCCGGGATTGAAAATGACCCGTCAGTGGAAAGATAAGCATATTATTTACCGACTGAGACGTCCTTACAATATAAATCTCCGTTAGAGGGTAGCATTTTCAAGTTTTCCCATGTGGACCTTCCCTTAGCCGGTTAATAGCTTACCATTACTTTCTCCTTTTTTCCCAGTTCGTGAACGGGCGGTATTTTACAATTTTGTGATTTGATTGGTTCTAGGAGCGGGCAATCCCACTTCTTCCCTTCCCACTCCCCCCCTTCCACACACACACACGCACTCACACTCGCAGCGGGCGATATCTGTCGGGTGATGAGTTGTGTCATATATAAATATCGGTTTTTTTCCGGCGGGACAGCGGCTTGGTCGTAGTTTACGACCTTGGTCGTAGTTCACTTCTATTAGGGCCCACCTTAAGCAGGCAAATGATTTATCTATATTTTTACTCCTTCTCAAATCATTTTGGTCGCTTGCGTAAAATTGGCTTTCAAAGAAATCTGTTATCGCAATGCATTATTGATTGGGTTACAATACTTAAAACGCCGTCTAAACACCATAGGCATTTTTCACTCCTTCGCAAAAGGTACTTAGAGAGATATTTATTGCCATTTTGATCAATAATTCTCACTTTCAGTCATTTAATACCTGGATTCTCCTAACAATTTTTTAAGTGAACAAGATTGAGGCTTAGTTTTGAGTTCTTCTAAAGCTAAACTTTCGGTAAGTCTATGAAAGTTCTTTCAATACAGGATTCCACATCAGAAACCGAAAGAATTCAGTGAGCGAAAGCCGAATTAAACCCCCTCGTTTCTTGTGTTATCTCATTTAACTTCAGTTATCCATTGGAATAGAGACATGATGTATAAGCGCCATTACGGCGTACAAACGAACAAATTCTTAGAACTATAACATAACCATTTGGACCTACTAACCGTGACTTTCCTTGTCATTTAGTGAGTAGCGTTACCATTGAATAATCGTCAATAGAGGCGGATAATACTTTCCGATAAATTAGTTGACTGGTTCTTAGAAATTATCGATGTAGAGCAATTTTTCGTTGTCTAAAGTAAGTGTAAAGAGTCGAAAAGCAAGCCAAGTTCTCTTTTGGTTTGCTTCACTTTGCTCTGTGATTGGTCCAGAATACTCGCACCATCCTGTCAACCAATCAGATCTAAATTAAAAGCCAATCGCGACTTCGACACTGGCGTTTGCCCGCACTCCAGGCATTGTACCTAAATTGTCACCTCTCTCAGACACTAACTGAGTTCTGGTTTCCGGGCTGATTGCTCCAGAGGTGGTCAAGCGTTGCGCATGGAAAGTTTCAAGTTTGTCACAGCCAACTTAAGCCGGGTAAGAGGCATACTGTGACACCATTTACGAATAATCTCATAAATGAAACAGTTTCCAGTTTTATTATTTCTTTTTGTTTTCCTTGCTCGACTTTGTTTCAGGTCTGCCAGATTTCTTAGATGCCTTTCTATACAGATAGTACAAGATCATTCCAGCCACGAACGGCCAAAATCCTATTTGCAGCAGTAACTTTGGATCGAACAGCGACTTCCTCTTAATGGACATGAGCTCGGTGGTAAAAATAAGTACCGAGTTGGCTATGTATGAATAAAGCAAAAATAAGAAAATGTTTGGATTTACTGTTTATTTAGTAACGTGGAATGATATTAATATCATGAGTAGCAGAAATATTTCTGTATAACCCCTTACTATTATTGTAGTAAATCAATTTAAAGTCATAGTCCTAGAGGCAATATATTGTTTCTGCGGTTGTTTTTTTATCCATAAACTATCTGCATAGTTAAGTATGGGGTTGTGGAGAAATATTGCTAAGTGAGGGAAAAGGAAAGGCTTCTTGACCATTGCCTTTCTATGTTATTAGAAAGAAGAAATTTAAAAGAAAAAATTCCCTTTTTGGCTATTACCACATGCCCAACAGATATCTCGTTCGTGATTGGTCAATGACTCATGCCAAAATAAGTTCTGGAGTGCAACACAGGGTTTACATATTGCACGTGCTCAGAATTAAAGACAAACAAAAAAAAGCTAAGTTCTAAATGTTTTGAAAAACTTTCAACTTGGCTAAAATGTCACAACTTTTTTGCAACTCCATGAAAATTTCTTATTTTAAGTAATATGTATTGAGGACAAACAAAGAGATTTAAAAAATGAAAAAAACCGACTTTGTGTTTTGCAATTTATTGTTAGTGCGACTTTGTTGAATCTATAATTTCCCGCTTTTTTGTTTTTGTTTCTTTTTGTTTCAGGCTTCACAACAAAGGAGTTTATTTTAGAGCAGGTATAAAGAAAATGGTCAAAGGCTACTCCCGGACATTTACTCAAAAGGTCGAAACAGAGATGATTAATTAATCTCTAGAACGATGATATTGAATGGCTGATCACAATAAAAGGAGTGTACCGCTGATTGTAAGACCTCTTACTGCCTTCTGTTTATCCTGAGGGCGGGCTCATGTTTAGGTTTCACCATACTGCCCCTTTTCGGGCACAGCCGCCTATTTTACCATCGACAGCTGCTTATGGAAAAAGGTTATTAAAACCCTGTATCAGAATGGGTTATGTACCTAAAGGGTGGCTAACATGGAAAACGGACCGTACTACGGGTGGAAAGGTTTATGTTCTTGCCTTGGCCAGCTCGTGTTGATGCCCTCATGGGATGAACACAGTCTTCTCAGAGAGCCTCTCGCCACCAAGGAGCGGGCGAACGGCTAGGGAAACCTGACAAAATCCCGCGGAGGGGGAGGGAGAGGGGGAGGAGTGTAAGCTGCAATGGACAACCATCATAATCAGGTGGAATAGCAAATTTTGAAGTCACTTCACGTTGCGGAAAGCTTAAATAGCCCATCAATAGGGGAGTCAGTCTTGTTTTTCAAACTTAACTTTCTTAGCATCGAGTGTTGGTCCAGATCATCATCGTCTTTCAGTTGTATTCAACACTTAATGATTGCATGTATATCAGCAGCACAATTTTTTTTATTTCATGTCCCAAACACACCTGAGCATTTTATTTTGGCGTTTTGCGGTGGTTGTTTGCCTCTCGTCCTCTTTAACTTTCCAGACACCAGTATCTTGTTTACTCAGCATCCTCTGTTGTGACTTCCTTTTCGCTGCAGATTGATGGCAAAAAACTCGACTTACGAACAATAGAAGGAATTGTTATTCTTAACATAGGCAGGTAAGTAAAAGCTGGAGGTTGAGGTCCCTCAAATTAATTCGAATTAATTTTGTAATAGTTAGATGTTCAATTTAATGGCAAGAAAATCACAGAACATCGGCTTCAACAAGTAGTTTTAAGCTGCAAGGTTTTTATTCCCGGTGAAAGTATGATTCGTGTAGGTCAGCATTATCTATTTCATATAATTATGATCTGATTCCTTTACGGGAACGAATAACCTTTCAAAATTTGTCTCCCTCACATCATGTAGCTTCACAGCTCAATTGGTAGCAGTCCCCAACTATTATCTGGGAGGCCCGCGTTCGAATCTGGTCGAAGTCGGAATTTTTAAGGGTTCTTTTCTCAGATCACTTTGATGATTATCACTTCGTTACTTGTAAAGTCTTTTTGTATCAATTTTGCCCTTTTACTTTGTTTTTAAATTTGTTTTTCGGCCAGTTGGGTAGCAGGCACAGATGCATAGGGACCAAACAAAGAAGATGTATGTAGTACTTCATGAATTTAGTAGTGATATCTGCTCATATTCTTAGCACCAAACAGCTGATAACATAACCATGACATGTTGTCCTCAGAAGGTGAGGTCTGGAGAAGACTCTAAGATTCAGCGCATCAGCTATGAAGAAGCCAACCAACGGCCGATCAGAAAACGAAGTACGAAGAGAAGAATGGCGCAAACTGCTATTAGCGTGGGAAGTTGCGAATGACCAAACCACTTTTGGTTTTAGTTTTGCCCATGATTGGTTCAGATAGTGGCTTGAATTATCTGGACCAATCGCAAAGCGAAGTTAAACGAACTAAGTGCAATCCCGGATTCCTTTTCCACACACAATTGAAATTGCTTGAATCTTTTTGCAGGATCATTCCCCAGCTTGTCACTGTGACGGTCTTGTCGAGGTGATTGGACTTCAGGGAGTAATGCACCTGGTGAGTCAGAATCACCACCATCTTTACCCTTCACACCCTAACATCAGCAGGCATATGCACCATTTAACAAATAGAGAAGCCTTGACTGTTCTCTGTTCTGTTATAAAGCACGCAGGAAGCGGCTAGAGCACGAAAGAAGTGTAGGGAGAAACACGAGACGTAGTCGTAGTTTCGAGACGTAGACGTAGATTCTTCTAATCTGATTGGTTGAACAAGACAAGAGCTGTCAATATGTCAAGCCATCAAAAGCGATCACGTAGAATCTCAAAGCAAAACGAGCTACTCTTACAGTGAATTCGAATGCGAACTGAATGTAATTTCCACGTCCAAAATTAGCATCTTTAGTAACATGATCAATGAAATTCGGCCGAATCGTGGCCCATGAAAACCTGGATGTTATTAACTTGACAATTTGAAAACAAACTGCTTAAAGCTTGTGGCTGATACTTGACAAACTGCTGCGCTGTGTTGTTCTGTGAATGAACAACGGTCGAATTTACAGCAGCGAGAGGATTTCCTGAACTGGTGACTGCATTAGGGGAATTGGGCTGCCGTGGTCCACCATTCATTGCACCAGAGAGGATATCTGAACAAGCCCTTAGCTGTTCACTCGATGGGCGAGTGTTGTAACTCTTGAGGCTTGCCTCACTGCGATGACCAGAGATCGCCATTATGTGCCGCGATGGAACTTGCGCGTCGGACCACAGCGTGATTGCAGTCGCTCTGACACTAAGATTTGTGTAGTTTCTTGAAAGAGACGCCAGTTTGGAAATTTCTTTTATCATTCCGTCAAGTTTATTGACCCCCAGCGGTTTGTTTTCATACCAAACGTCATCTTCAGGTTTCACGGCTCGTTTTGGGTACTGAAAGAATGCTTCGCAGTTAGGATTTAACTTCTGGATATAGTTCTTGAGGCAGTTAAGGCCATCAAAAAGTGGATCCTCCGATGTTGAATACATCCTGGCCTCCTTTTCTACACTGGAGATGTCTTCAATCCCTTCTGGATGGTTCTTAGTAGCCTCGTCATGGGTCATTGAAGTGTATTCCCGTCCATTATCGTCAAACAAGAACTGGAAGCTTTGCTTCGTCAATTGTCGTTGACTTTCGCGTCCTCGACGACACCAGTACAAGCTGATGTTAAGCCAGACATTTCGTAGAAGACCCCAAGGACTGTCTCCCCGGATTGTATTCTACGACTTCAACTTTTGAAGGTCTGCCGCTGGGATGGGAGGTTTGTGTTTTGTGTTTTCATTGTTCTCGCGTTTGTTTAACTTTATCATACTCTGCAGGAGTTTGTTTGATGATTGGAATTCGGTCCCTTTGGTGATTGAAATTCCTCTATTAAATGGTGGGTTGTTGAGATATCTTTCGATCGCATTTCGCAATCCAAGGAGGGACGATCTTGAATATAATGCACCACCTCTTGTTCTTGCTTCTGCGTAACAGTAGCGGAGGTTTTTGTCAAGCTCTTTCTTGCTCATTTCGTGGAGGTTCTTCGAAAGTCTTTTTTCAGTACACCAAGCTATTAAAAGAAAACGGCATAAACTGGCATGAGTTATGAAAAATTATTTTTATTCGTGTTTTAGTGTACGTTTTTGAGAAAAATATGTTGTTGTTGGTTGTAAACGTGTGTGCGCCAGCTAATTCATCCACTTATTTTAATCGTTTTTGCGAAAAATTTTAGCAAATAGCGCACACCTTTTTCGAGGTTTTCATATTGTATCTATTATATTTTTACAATAAAAAACTCGCCTTCAAAAACTCGGAGTGCCCATTTAGTGGATTCTTTGGTTTTCTTTGTTTCTGCCTTTGTTATTATGTCATCAATTGCATCACTTGACATGTTTTTAAATCTTTGCTTGTTAATGTTGTCGCGTCGCTCACTGTTTTCATAACTAACTTCGTCGGAAACCTCACTTTCACATAACGGGTAGGTCCCACTATTATTGACAATATCCTCTAAATCTATCGACGCTAACAGCTCGTTTTCTCTTTCGTTTTCTAGGTCGTAGAGGACGTCTAGCTCGAAAAGAAACCCGAGTGAATAATTAGGGAATTGGTCCGCCATGTTACGAATTGGCAGATGGCGTGACAGCTTTAGCTCAGTTCTATGCTCTATACTCTCATAGAGCACGCTCTTTCAACCAATGACAGCGCGCGTTATATCCGAACTTTATTATAAACTATTCTCTCCAATCTGCTCCGCGTATTTTTTTCTACTAACTGCCACAATTTTTGTATCCTGCCTTTTCCTTTCTTCTTAAGTATTTGCATAGGAAACGTTTTTATTTAGCGATAGAAATGGTGCCTTAGTTCTTAATTGAAATGAATTCTTTATTGAAAGGGTCAAATTCAAAGTGGAATCAGGACTGGTATTCGGCTAGCACAGGGAGCCCAGGTATGTATGTCTGGTTGTAATCCAGTAAATAACATACTGAAGCCATAAGTTGATTATCCTTGTACTATTCTCTTGTAATTTCTGTTTTTCACGTTACTATGTTCCCACCAGTGGCGTAGCGTCATATTCTCCGCATATTTACTTTATAAAATCAGTTGATAAAAAAACTATCATGTAATACCACCCCTTCCCTTCCCCCCTCCCCTCCCCCCCACACCGACGCAGAACCACAATTTCTTTAGAAATTTACCCTCTTCGTTCATCCGCTTCAATGCTTTTTTTTTAATTGATGACAATTATTATTACTTCATTACAGATCAACATCAAATTAAAATCAGAGATGCCCGTACAAATAGATGGTGAACCTTGGATGCAGCCTCCTGGTAATGTGATTGTACGGCCCATACCAACACAGGTATTTACAGAAAACTGTGTAACGACGCTGTAAAAGATTACCGTTTGGGAAAAATGAAAGGCTTGTGATTGGACTCGCATATCTCAGTGTTAAAAATGCACCTAGAACATTTCGAAAAATCAATTTAGTTTTATCTTTTTACCTGAGAAACTTTTTAATATTATTTTTTTTGTCAACATTTACATCCAAGAATTCAATAAAACGTTTATAACCGGACGACTTTGGTTCAGAATTCTTTGGAGAATTAAGAAAATTTCGCTAGAACCCAAACGGCCATCGAACACTTCTAGAAATTTCATCGTAAGTTCACTTATTTTTTTCTTTAGGCGCTGATGCTATCGAAGAGGAAGGTTAAAGTTAAAAAAAAAAGAAGATCCACAAGTTCGTCTCGCCCTCCTGCAAGCCCCAGCGCAACAAGAACTATTTTTATGATGATTAAACACTTACCCCGGGCTTATGGCAGCTTAATTAGAAACCATACTGGATATTTTTTCCAGCTCTGATTTATACTTAACTTGGTAATCTTGTAAAGTTTCATCCAGTTAAGTATTGCTTTAGCCGAGAAAATGTAATTCGAAATTGTAAAGGAAATTACTGTCATTTGTATCGCTTTGGGTATACGCTGTATTGTAAACAGTGCAGACTAAAATTCCATCTTTATAGTGCGTTAAATTGAACCAATTGTGAAACTCTACCAGCACGAAATGCATGCTGGTTGAGAAATCACACGAACATCACGTGCTCGTCATATAGGCTGAAACAAGGAGAGCGGCTCAGTCCTCACCATTCGAACCTCTTACGTGCTAACGAACCAAACTCGTAACCTGGTATTCCATAGTCGTATGTAGGAAAAAAAGGGTGGCGCGAGATTTCTAGACGAATCACAGTTTATTAAA